AGGTAACAGCAAATGGGAAGGCACACAGGGCAAGGCCTTCTTTGCTCTGCACACCTGAGCTGGGCCTGGGCCCAGGTCCTATCCCTGCAGGTGCTTTGCACTCCCTGCTCTCTGCTGGGACTGTGTGACTCTTGTGCAAGTTACTGGTGTTCTCTGAGATGCCTTCGTCCAATCTATTCATTGAAATTTAACTCATTCTTTCTTCTTTTTTTACAACCCAGTACTGGGGATTGAACCCAGAGTGCTCTGCCATTGAGCCACATCCCTAGCCCTTTTTATTTTGAGACAGGATCTCACTAAGTTGCGTACGGCCTCATTAAGTTGCCCAGGATGACTTCTAACTTGTGATCCTCCTGCCTCAGCTTCCTGAGTAGATGGGATTACAAGTATGCTCCACAGCACCCAGCTTAAGTTGGGTTTCTTCTCTTAGCAGATGATGAAGGTTAAATGATACTGAACATGTTATGTGCATTATTTCATTTTATCCTCCCAATAATCCTGTAAGGTAGAAGTTCTCCCACCCACATTTTATAGATAGAGACTGGGACTCKGAGAGGTGAGCTCATGGCGGAAAGATGGACTCACCACCAAACTCCAGAGCTAGCTATTCACAACACTGCCCCAGGCGTGGATATCACCTTCTCGCCCAGTGTGCCAGCACAGTGGGATTTCATCCCCCAAATCCTTATGCTCTTGTCTCTATCTTTGTTTATGGCACCCACTGCTTTTTCTATCTGTCATTTTGATGGGTTTTAGGCCTACTACTAAACTGTGGGCTCCTTAGGGACAGGCTCTATTTCTAACATTCCTGCAGCTGTCGAGGGTAGAGCAAACCACTCAGTCAATATTTATCAAACTGGCCAGGTGCAGTGGCACACTCCTGTAATCCCAGTGGCTCAGGAGGCTAGGGCAGGAGGATCGCGAGTTCAACGTCAGCCTCAGTAACTTGGTGAGACACTAAGCATCTTAGTGAGACCCTAAGCACCCTGCCTCAAAATAAAATATAAAAAAGGGCTGGGGATGTGGCTCAGTGATTAAGTGCTCCCTGRGTTCAATACCTAGTACAAATATATATACAGCAAACTGAATATAAATAGTAGCTTGATCGGAATGCTGTGACAGGTCGTCACCTCCAAACAGAGTGAGCTGTCTGGGAGAAAAACCAGGCTGATCCCACAGCTCAGTGACAAGCCTGCAGCACCCATAGTTTCATATGTGGAAACACAATGAGAGGAAATCAAAATAATTATTCTCCAGCCACTACACCTTGCACCCCCTTTTCTCAGTGCTTAGAGTCCACAACCCACCACCAAGCCAGTCCTCTGCACACAGCCCAGCCCCCTTGCCTCTCTCCTGCTCCACCACACTGCAGAGCTGGGCAGCATGACTGCTGTTCTGCCTGAGCCTGTACCATCCACTGGGTAGGGCAGGGACACTGCAAATCCACTGGACCCCTCTGGGGAACCCTCTTCCACTCCCTAGTCCTTCAACTGTCTCCTCTGTCCTTATACCCCCAACACCTACCTTGTTCCACTGATATTGAGGACCTATATACAGAAGCCCCTGCCCACATCTACTCTGCCAGCTTCACTAGGTGCAGACTCTGGAGGGGCCCACCCACACTCTCCTCCATCACCTCTTCTCCTCCCCACTGCAAGATCTTGGCTCTGGAGTCTTCCCCTCCCTAGCTGTTTCTTCTCAGGCCATCAGTTTGGAGTTAGCCTAGACCCCTCCCCTCCACATGGGCAAATCCCTAGGCTCTGCCTTCAGGATCCACCCAAGATCAGACCACTGCTCACACTTGCTCTGCCACCAGAGTCTAAGCCTCCTCCACAGGGTTCTCGTGCTGGGCCAGGGGCTGCACAGAGCTGGGGAAAGCCTGCCTGCTCCACAAAAACTACCAGAGTGAGTTAGAAGTTTAATTTCCCGGCAGAGCCTGACCCACCATCCTACAAATGGATTTGGTGTCCTCGGAAAACTTGGCAGAGTACTGTTCAGGATCCCTCTTCACTCTTCGGTCAACCTCTTCCCGTTTGACTTTCTCTTTGAATTTTCTGAATGGAGAATGTCCCTGAATCATTTCATATATCAGACAGCCAAGTCCCCACCAATCAGGACTAAATGTGTACTTTTCGTTATTGATAACTTCCGGAGCTAAATAACAATACAGAAAATTCAATTAAATTTTGGTTTAAAATCTATCATTAATTCTAAATAATTATATATTTAATATATAATTCCAACATGGAGGAAACTTAAAAGCATTATAGTAAGTGAAAGAAACTAGACACAGGGGTCAAATAACACATCATTCTGCTTATATGAAACAGATGGAATAGAACAATGAACAGAGACAACCAGAGTGAGCGAGAATTCAGAAAGTAAACTCCTGTGGCCGGGCCCAGGGCTAGAAGGGGAGGGTTAAAGAGTGGCTGTTAATGAGCACAGGTTTCTTTTTTAAGGTGATAAAACATGTTTTGAAACTGGTGGTGGCTGCACAACTGTGAATACACTAAAATCCACAAAATCGCATGCTTGGAACTGTTAGGTTCTGTGGTATGTGATGTCTGTACACACGGGATGAGCTCAAGTCGGCAGGAGAACACCATGAGGCCAAGGTGCTTCCTGAGGGGATGCCCTCCATTCAGAGCCACCCATGGGTGTCCCTAGTGCACTGTCACTGTTTGCCAGTGAGTGTAAATCCCTTAAGCCAGTAAGGGCAGGAATGGTGACATGGGATCTTCTGCAGGGCTCTTAGTGGCTTGAAGTTCCCTCAGAGGCCACAGGGTTGGGCTGGCTCTGCCYACAGATTCTCTGGAAGAAGCAGATTAAGATGATTTCCCAGGAGGTCTGCAAGGTCCACATGCACAAGGGTACTGGCAAAGTGAGGGGACCGACAGCTTTGTCCTGACTTTCCCTCATGCAGTGGTATAACCTCAGGACTCCAGAGACCTCCAAGGCCTCATTCCTTGTCTGTAAAAAGAGGGGTATAGTCGAGGGGCCTCCTCAGTAGTTCAACAACCTGAAACCATCTACCGTGTCAGGAAGAGCACCAGGCCCCTTGTGTGGCAACTGCTCTGTTCAGAGGCATTCTGGCATCTAGAGGGAAAGGCCGAAGACCACTGAGGTGGTCTTTTACATACCCATGTAGCCAACAGTTCCAACTCTTCCTCGAACCATCTCCCCTTCTGGGATCTGCAAGGCTAAACCAAGATCTGAAATCCGGATGTGTCCTGTGTGTGTTCAAACACGATAGACAGATCATAGGGAGAAGCAATGCCATTTATTTTATTTTATTTTATTTTTTTTGCTGTCTCTTTTTTTTTTTATTGGTTGTTCACAACATTWCAAAGCTCATTTTTTTAAAAATATTTTTTTAGTTGTAGATGGACACAATACCTTTATTTATTTTTTTAAAAATTTTTATGTGGTGCCAGGGATTGAATCCAGGGCCTTACACATGCTAGACAAGTGCTCCACTACTGAACTACAACCCTGCCCCAACACCTTTTTTTAAAAAAATATTTATTTTTTAGTTGTAGGTGGACATAATATCTTTATTTTATTTTTATGTGGTGCTGAGGTTTGAACCCAGTGCCTCACGTGTGCTAGGCGAGCACTCTACCACTGAGCCACAACCCCAGCCCCCCAACACCATTTTAGTAATAGAAACAACTGGAGAAAAAAATTGTCTTAAGAGCCATGGATGAAAAAACTAGCACCTCAAACTCTGAAATCTTTAAATATAAAATTACATTTAACCGCTGGAGTTGTGGCTCAATGTTAGAGAGCTTGCTGGCACATGTGAGGTCCTGGGTTCAATTCTCAGCACCACATATAAATAAATAAAATAAAGGTCTATTGACAACTAAAAAAAAAAAATTAAAATAAAAACATTTTTAAAAATTACATTTAACCTTTTCACATTTAATAAAATTCTACACAGTGCATTCAATTTCACTAACAACTAGAAATTAGATTTATGTTTGGGAAGTTCTTTAATCATAGACAATCACCACATAAGATATAAACACTATATTATTATACCTGTTGTAACTTACCAGGTGTACATATGAATATACAATGACTATTAGATCAACTATAAAACAGCAAATACTTTCTGTCAGAGTACCAGACCAGGAGGCTTATCACGGACAACTATATATGAATGATATGGAGGTTTTTTTCCTAGAGAACAAATGTAATAGAGTCAGGGAAATAACAATCTCAATTAGGGCACTTCATTCAAAGAGCCATACAATGTGTGAATGCCTTGGGCATAGGGGGTAAACATTTATTGAATTCCCATAAAAATAACACATTGTGGAAAATATTCTTATAAGGACACCTGTAATTGGAAGTGGGCCCAACCTAACTGCCTCATTTTATTGACTGTGGTGCTGGAGATGGAGCCCAGGGCCTGGCAAGTGCTTTCCCTCTGAGATACTTCTCAGCCCCTGATGAGCTCATCCTACTTTGGTTACCTCTGTAAAGGTCCCGTCTCTAAACACTGTCACATCCTGCACTCCTGGAGGTTGGGACTTTATGGAAGTTGTGAGAATCAAAATGGAGTCAATGTGTCAAATTCTGACACAGAGAGTTGGAGGTAAGGAAGCCACAAAGGGAGGTTCTCACGATTTGCCTGGTAACAGGAACTATCACAARAAAATTTTTCTGAACCATGGCTTGCTCTGTGAGTCACACAAGGGCACAAATGTCCCTGGGATCTTGCTTGGGGCAGGCTGGCACTAATGCTGACCACACTGGGAGAGCCCCCCAGATGACAGGAGTCATACCTTGAAGGCACTGGTGAGCCAAGGTGGTAGTGTGGTCTGGATGTACTTGGCCTCCAGAGCGAGACTACAGAGGTGAGTTGCATGTGGTGGCAGTTCCTACACACACTGTACAAAGCAGGAGCACGACTTCACTGAGACCTCTGCAGCATGCAGCTGCAACCTACCCAGACTAGCAGCAGTGAGAGGTTGGAAACTCAGATGAGGCCTAGGGCTACTGCTGAGAAAGAGCCAGCAGAACAGATTCTGGAGTTCAAGTTGCACTTCAGAAGCAGAACTGATCCCCTCCCTTATACATGAGGTGAATGCAGCAATCTTTGCACAGGATGGCAGCATGCCCAAGGTGAATTTATGTCAGTAACGAAAGCTGATTCAAGATTTAGAAATTAACTGCAATAATAAGAAAAAATCATGATCATCTTGACAGAAAGGGCACTGACAACATTTAACTACCATTCATTATTTGTTTCCACTCATTATTTTTAAAAAGGAAACTTCTTAAATCTGATAAAGTATTTCTACAAAAATACTCCAACAAATTCATTGTTAAGGGTGACATGTTGAAATGCTGCCCCAGGGGCTACTTCTATTCAACACAGTACTGACAGCCCTACCCTGTTTCACAGGGCAAGAAAAAGAAAAAGAAGGCATAAGAATTGGAAAGGCAGACATAAACCCCTCTGCAGATGTCATGATGTGTATGTAGGAGGACCCAAAAGAAGCTGTAACCCAGTGGTAAAGCATGTGCTGGTTAGCAGGCACAAGGTCCTGGGTTCAATCCTTGGCATAAATATATACTCACATATATACTTAACTTTTCTGTGAAAGATACTAGTGAGAAAATGAAAGATAAATCAGAGACTAGGAGAAAATCTTTCTAAAACATATATCTGATAAAAGATGGTTTCAAAATATGCAAAAAGCATTCTTAAACTCAGCAACAAGAAAACAAAAATCCAATTAAAAGATGGTCAAAACATCGGAATAGACACCACAGATATACAGATGGCAAATAAACATGAAGAGATGCTTAACATCATGTCATCAGAGAATAGCAAATGTAAATAGTAATACACCACTATACACTGCTAGAATGACAAAAACCCAGAACACTGAAGCACCAATTGCTGGTAAGGATATAAAGCAACAGGGACTCTATCACTGCTGGCAGGAACGAGAAGGTGCTGACACTTTGGGGGATAGGCTGGCAGTTTTTTGTTTGTTTGTTTGTTTTTTAACAAAACTAAGGAGCTCAATGCCAGCTCTAAGCTAGCATTTAAAGCATTCTCTAAGCTTATACATCTAGCAATCAGGCCCTTTAGTGTTTATTCAATGAACTGAAAACTTAAGCCCCACAAAAACCTGCACATGTGTATTTATAGCAGCTTCATTTATAATTGCCAAAATGTGGAAACAAGCAGAATGTCCTTCAGTAGGAGAATGGATGAACAAATGGTGGTGTTCAGACAGTGAAATATTATTTAGCACTAAGGAAGCGGTCAAGTCACCAAAGGATGTGGAGGAACTTACATATTACTAAGCAAGAGAAAGCAGGTGAAAAGCTCCATACTGTATGTGTCCAACTCTGACCTTCTGGAAAAGGCTAACTTTGGAGGGGGTAAGAAGATGAGTGCTTGCCAAAGGTTGGGGGAAGAGAACGAGGAAAGGATGGGTGAAACACAAGATTCTAGGGCAATGAACAACTCAGTTTGATATAGACACATGTCATATACATCTGTCAAAGCCCATAGGACGTACAACACAGAGAATGAGTCCTAATGTAAACAACATACTTCAGTATAAACTATAATGTACCAATATTAGTTCATCATTTAACAAATGCACCACACAATAGGAAATATAAATCACAGGGGAAGCGGTGTTTCTAACTATTAACAACAGGCAAGTAAAAAATGAAACTTTAAAAACAATACTATTAAAAATTGTCAAATAACAAAATATATAAGCCCTTTAGATGAAAACTATAAAGCAATATTGAGAAAAATTAAAGGAGACCCGACCCCAATACACAGATCTATATACAACATTGATAAATTGATTCAATATTGTTAAGAGATCAATTCTGTGGAGATGATTCTACAGATTCAAAACAACCCTAATCAAATTCTTAGCACAATATGGCTTTAATTACCAAATTAGTTATCAAAATTTATATGAAAATGAGAAAGTCCAAGACTAGCGAAGGCAATCTTTTTTTTTAAATTTAAATGTTATAGTTGGACACAATACCTTTATATTATTTATTAATTTTATGTGGTGCTAAGGATCGAACCAGGGGCCTTGCCCATGCTAGGGGAGCGCTCTACCGCTGAGCCACAATCTCAGCTCCCCCGTCCCCAAAGGCAATCTTGAAGGCCTATAACACTGGAAGACTTGACAGAATCCAAATGCAGACTTGCTACAGCGTCAATGCCTCAGAACTGTGGGAAGAAATGAGGGGCTGTGACTCAGAGACTAGGGAGTACAGCCAGATAAACAAAAAGATCAAGCAAGGGAACAGACTCCAGATCTACAGTAAGAGCCACCCACACAAAGACATGTGCTTTTTGACAAAGTAGATCCCACAGCTGCCGAGAGAACAGATGACCTTTTCAATGAACAGTGCTGGGCCAACTGATCACACACACAYATATATATAAAGGGCTGTAAGAGCTACTCTACATCAGACACAAAACCAATTCCAGATGAAGTAAATGGGAAAGATAAGACAATACTGTTCTTAGAAGAAAATGCAGAAAACTTTATGGTGTAGGAATAGACAAAGATTTCATTAAAACACAAAAATCATTAAACTTAATGGAAAAATAATTAACAAAGCAGAATACACTAACATTAAGAATGTCAAAACTTCTGCTTCKGGCCAAGAATGAACAATTGATTAAAAATCTGCCTTTCAGGGCTCGGGTTGTAGCTTAGTGGTAGCGCTTGCCTAGCATGTGTGAGGCACTGGGTTTGATTCTCAGCACCACATATAAATAAATAAAATAAATTCCATTGATGACTAAAAAAATATTTTTAAAAATTTGCCTATCAATAAGGTAACAATTAAAATCTGGTCAGATAGCAGAAGTCTATGATTCCTAAGAGAAAAAAAAAAAACAGCTGGCTGACCCCAGGAGGTCGTGGCCAGGAAGGGCAGACCTAAGCTCAGCAGAAGGACTTGYGAAGTTAAGGAGGCAGAGATCAGATTTGGGAAAGATAGGTCAGCTCAAGTCTGTGGGGTGGAATTCTGGAGAGGAGGGGGCTACACAAGAAAATCTCCTATTTACATAGAAGACTCAGCATAGGCCTGAGTCTGCTCCCGCCTGGCCTGCACTCACCTCCCCGCCCCGCGCCACCCTTCCTTGGTATCTCCTCCTTTTCAAATAAAGGCCGCCCATTTCACAGCTCGGCACCTTGCTCCTTCCCCAACAGCCAGCACAGCTTAGAGAGCACCCCATCCCACACCAACGTGTCCTCCCTCCCTCCTCACAGCCACTTCATTGTCACCTTGGGTCAGCAGTGTGGCACAAGTGTCAAGACCCAGAAGCTGTGGACACAACTGTGGGCGAGTTACTTCAAGTCTTGGCATGGCCTGTGGGGCGAAATTCCTGGTACCCTCCTTTTTCACCGGCTGGGTGTTCCATGCATAAATTAGACAACAAGCAGGGTCCCATGTTTGTCTTTGGAACCCTCTGCCTGAGACACCGGTTTTCTCCTCCACAGCGGCCACCCCAGCCTTGTCTATGTCCTCTACTAGATTCTAAGCCTCTTCAGAGCCAAGAAAAGTCATTGGACAAAAGTTCCATCCAGCGATGCAATATGGAGTGCTGAGTGAGTACCACTGGCCATCCAGTGGTAGGGACCATTCTTGGTTCTAGGTGCACTCGTCACTCAGGGAACCAGAGTCTGAGTGGTACCCAGGATGCTAATAAGGGACAGTTCCAAAGGGCCACTCCCCATCCACTTGCACAGGGCCCCCACACAGCTACCATGCCCCATGTGCTATGTGACAAGAGGACAGCACCAAGGGCAGCAGCCTAAGGTACAGGGGGCATGAGAACAGGCATCTAGAAAATGCAGCAAGATGTGGACCCACAGCAGAAACAGAAGGCCAATGTTCTTCTCTCAGTACTCTCACATGCTTCCCAAACTCGGCAGGAACTGAAAACCTGACCGTCTCCACTTRTACACATACAGGGAAGGACAAGTCTCCACACTGCATTCGTTTTAAGGCTGCCTGCCAGGAGCTGCTTCCCGCTGCCGTTTCCACAGTGGTTTAGCTGCTAGGTCCACACTCACCTTCTGTTTTGAGTTCCTATAACAAACTTATGCAGGAGCCAGGACGCTCACTTACCATGGTCATCCAGGAGGATGTTCTCTGGCTTCAGGTCTCTACAAGGGAGAAAAAGAACAAAGAACCRTTATTTATTTACTTATTTTAGTACCAGGAATTGAACTCTGGGGTGCTTAACCTCTAAGCTACATTCCCCCATCCCTTTTACATTTTATTTTGAGTCATGGTCTCAGTCAGTTGCTTAGGGCCTCACTAAGTTGCTGAGGCTGGCTTTGAACGCACGATCCTCCTGCCTCAGCCTCCCAAGCTGCTGGGATTACAGGCTTGGGCCACCRCACCCACTAAAGGCTCAATTATTCACAAGTCCACACTGATTCCTGCGTGCTGATCAGAAATAACCACAGATTCCAAGACAATTGAAATTGCAAGATTACAAGAGCAGACCAGCACCAAGTAAAACCACCCTTATACAGGTTTTAATGACAACTACAGGTAACCATACTACAAAATTCATCTTGGCAAACAACTTACACATGACGATAGTGTCAATGAACTGCTTTGCAGATCATGCAGATTTGAAGACTTTTTGGTGATTAAATACACAGTCCAGTAAAGCAATCAGTCCTTAATAAATCTGACACAATTTATTTTTTGGGCTGGGGCTGTGGCTCAGTGGTAGAGCACTTACCTAGCATGCGTGAGGCACTGGGTTCAATCCTAAGCACCACATATAAATAAATGAATAAAATAAAGGTCCATCAACATCTAAATAAGTATTTTTAAATAAATAAATTACTAGTGTATTTTTATTATTAATATATTTTGAAGTTTCAACTGTTGAAAACGTCCCACACTAGAAGACTCTGGTTTAGGACTCAGACCTCAGCTCTGCTACCTCTCAGCTGTATGGCCATCCACTCTCTGAGCTTTAGACTCTGTACCTGTAAGACGCAGGGGTCACTATGTGCCTTGCCTGATGGGGCTCCCGTAGGGTTTGGAGGAGATGGAGTTTCCCAGGAGGAAGACATCATCAACAGCAGCTGCTATTATTCACAAGGTAGAGGGATGCCACAACTTATGAATCAAAGGAAAACTAAAATCTCTCTTTTTTTCCCAGTGCTAGGGATTAAACACAGGGCTTTGTGTATTCTAAACAAATGCTCTACCACTGAGCTACACTCCCAGCCCAAAGACTAAAACATCTTAAATGCAATATCTCAAACTACTTGTTTATTTTACTTTCAAGAGAAGAAATTATTTTAAAGCATTTATATTCAACTCTGACTTCACATTTGACTCTGTCGCAACAATTCAGCTTCTCTAAGCATTGCTATCAATCTGTGGGCTTCTCCAGAGGAGGTCTGAAGCCAGCAGAGTGGGGCAGTGAGCCTAGGAACAAGGCCACAGTGCAAGGGACGTGGATGGAGGAGAAGTGGAGGAAAATCTCTCAAATTAAGAGTACGTGCCTGTCAGCATCGTGGCCACTATGTAGGTGCATGCTCTGCCCACAAGAAGGGTGGCGGCACAGGAGCTAGCCAGTATCAGTGTCCTGCTGAGAGCCCCAAACACCTTCTAGGAGGACACCCAGGACAGARGGGCAGGAGTGGGAGGCTCCTGCCAAAGCGGCTGGTTGCTTTTCTAATTGGGTGCACACACTCTTTTATTATCTGGGTGGGGAGGTGATTAAGACTTTTGTTTATTATTATTTTCTGTATTTGAGAAAATCCTGCTAAATGTTGCTAAACGCTAAGCAAGATTTGATGCAAAACTTCCAGAGCTTCCTTATTTTCCAGGTTTTACACTCAATATTGTGTATATGTGTGTGTGTGTGTGTGTGTGTGTGTGTGTCAGAGAGAGAGAGAGAGAGAGAGAGAGAGAGAGAGAGAGACAGACAGACAGACAGACAGACACAGACAGGTGGGTGTCAAAATAATAATGTTCAGGTTGAGCATCCCTAAAAAAAAATTAAAATCTGAAATCTGAAATCCTCCAGACTCTGAAAAGCAACTGGTCCCACACTTCAGTTAAGAGACCCTCAACCTGTAGTAATAACACCAGCCAACTTTTACAGCATGCTCACTATGTGCCAAGACTTGTCTATTTTATATGCACTGCCTCCAGCAATCCTTACCAAAGTTTGGCAGAGCAGCTACAGACAAGGTGCCATTCTAGGGGTATCCCCAAGTTCAGTGGGTCTCCCAAATGCTAAATGAAAAGGCAGGATAGGCCCCAAAGCCACCCTGCCTCCTACTTGCCGCTCCACACCCCATACACGAGATGTGTGCTAGTAAATAAGTGCCACACCTTTGGCCTGCAAACCACTGCTTCTTAAACCTTCTCTCAAAATTTCATTTTTCCAGGCTTTTAATGTACTCAATCTATCTCCAAGTTTGAACACAGGGTATGGTAGTGTAGAGAACCTCATCACATGAGGTCAGGTATAGGATCTCCCATTTGTAGTCTCCTGTCAGTGCTCAAAGCATTTTGGATTTTGGAGCATTTCTAATTTCTGATTTTCAGATTAGAGATGTGCAGTCTTCATATATTTACGGAACTAGAGAGTAAGAAGAAGAAATTTTCATTTTGGAAGAATGTGGGTAGTATACCAACTAACAGTTCTTATAAATATTGAAATCTGCCATTCTTTCTTTAAATTAGTTTGCAAAGTTTCAGAAAAGATAGAAAAGCAAAAGAGCCTACCCTTCATGCATGTTTTGATGGCCCTTCACCACCACTAGATTATGAGCCTCCTGAGGGCAAGGAGAGTGTATCCTAGCAGACAGCTTAGGACCTGGTAGACATGTGAGACTTGTCTACTTCTTGAATTAATGAATAACCCTTTCAGCTACAGATAAACCTATGTGACACACCCATCCGTACACCCGATKACCTGCATGATCAACTCACTACTGAAAAACTGATAGGTCCAAATGGGCCCTGCCTGCCCTTACTCTCCTGCTCACCAAACTCCTGCCTTCTTGCCTGGGAAAGAGGTCATCTGCTTGTCAATCCATAATTCAATTACAAGGAAAAGAAATCCAATGCACAGCTAACCATCTATTTCCTCAGTGGAATTTCTAATAACATTTTCTCCTAATTATTTTCAATGATAGGGGCTGGGATGGGACTGTGGCTCAGTGGTACAGCACTCGCCTAGCATGCGTGAGGYACCGGGTTCGACCCTCAACACCACATGATAAAAATTAAAATAATAAAAAAATTATTTTCAATGAAAGCATTCCAAATGGACAAAAATCTCATGAACCTTATTTAACAAGAGTCAAATTTCCAAACAAAACAAAACAAAACAAAAACTAAAAAACAAAAACTACCTCAAACCATTCTGATGAAACTGCCAGCAAAGGGTTCAGATTTTTCTTCTTACAGAGAAAGACAGAACACTCAACCCTGGGGTGCCTCTCTTCTCCGTGAAAGGATGTGACCCTTCCCTTCACAAGATTACTGGGAAGATGAGAGTACAGAAGTGCTCTGAGATGTTAGTCTTCTGCAAATCAATGTAACTCGTAGACATTTTGACCATTTGTGGGAGACCAACCTTGCACRTGACTGAGTCATACTCCCCAGCTGGGTGCTGAGGCACTCAGTCACAGAACCGTGGCAGAGCTTCCCCACCCTTCTTGGGTGCAAGGCGGGTGCTTGGGTGTGTCTTCCTACAGCCCCACGGGTGAAGCTAGGCTCACCTGTTCCTTTGTAATGTAACTCCTTACCAGCCAGCATTTGTTGCTTTTGACCCGTTGGCTTAAAGACTCAGACCTTTGGCCCCCATGTTGGGTGCCAATTGCTGGGTTTCTGTTCTCGAGACTAAAAGGCTCAGGGGTTGAACTGGGCTAACTGGGCTGCATGAAATAACCACACAAGAGACACAAATACCTTTTTCTTTGGGGTTGCTGTGACAGCTCCTCTGACCTTAAGGGTCAGCAGGAAGAGAGAGCAGAGCTCGCACTGACGCCTTTTATTGAGGAGAAGCTATTCAAATGAGACAAAGGGTCAGGTTTCAGAGGGCTGAGTATCTTCATGATGTCCACTGTCAGCAGGTTGACTGACACCTGGGTAGGCCACACCCAAGGGCACAGTAAGAGAAGGGGACACACACAAGGCACTTCCATGGAAGATTCTATCCTAAACAGGGCAAGGGGTTAGATTACAAAGGAACAGGTGAGCGTAGCCTCACCCAGGGGCTGTATGTAGCAAGACACACCCTCGCACCCAAGAAGGGTGGGGAAAGCTCTGCCACATTTCTGTGGCTGAGCACCTCAGCACCCAGCAGGGGAGTGTGACTCAGTCACGTGCAAGGTTGGTCTCTCACAACCATCWCCAGTAGTTATCACTCCAGGGTGGATGGATTCCTCCGAGACATAGAAACACACTAAAGGCCATTTACTAGAGAAGTTTAAAAGCTTCATCTCTGCTTCGGTTATCAGCATCAACAAATGCTGTCAGCCTCTGTGCACCAGCCAGCTCCACCTCACAGGAGAAGCTGATGGCAGGTGTGTTCAGGTCCCACRGAGTCCATGACCTCAACAGCTTGCAGGAACAAGCTGGAGACATGCAGAAACTGGGACCACAAGACACAAAGAGCCACCACTACTCCTGAGGCCATAGACTGAGTCTTGCCTCCCCAGAGGGTGAAAGGTGGGAAGCTTAGGTTTTACATAATGCTGTGTCTTAAAACTCCAAAATCCTTCCCGAAAGTCAAATTATTTTGTATCACAAATATTGGTCTCACTGCATGTTACTCTCTCAGAACAAGTTGTTTTTTGAGTCTTCAAAACTGCCTGTTAGCCATGCTCCTATAATTCTAGCAACTCTTGAGGCTAAATTAAGAGGATCACAAGTTTGCAGCCAGCCTAGGCAACTTAGCAAGAAACTAAGTCTCAAAATAAAAATTAAAAAGGGCTGGGGGACATGGAGCTGGGGATATGGCTAAGTCCGTAGAATGCTTGCCTTGCATACATAAGGGCCTGGGTTCTAATCCCCAGCACTACAAAAAGGGGGCGGGATATAACTCAGTGGTACAGCACCCATGGGTTCAACCTGTAGTACTGTTATTAAAAAAAAAAAAAAGTAGTTGTCAACC